TCTGGTGTCCCCCCGCCGTGATGTTGCTGGAATATTGCTAAAAGCGGCGTAAAACCAAACTCAGTCAGTCAGTCAGTAAAATAACCGAAGACCAGTTCTAACCCAGATCTTCACGGATGTGGGATGAATGGGGGCTCAAAACAATTTGTATGCGATGTAATATGTGTGAGATCAAGGTTCGAAGAACATACAATCTCATGGACGTTCAAGCTGTACTTCTGGAAAGACAGATGTGGTATAATAGTGCCCCTTACGTTGTCGAGATCATCAGGTCATGCAGAAAGCTTTACAAGGAGTGAGTGAGTGAGTATGGTTTTACGCCGCTTTCAGCAATATCTAGCTATGTGGAGTCAAGGGGTGTTAGGTAGGTGAGCGGACGCGTCGCGTTCAATATTATTATTGTTGTTGTAATTATAGCGTTGTTAATGCACGTGTGTGCGGGGCTTGTAAAGTCCGGATTATGAATGGTGTACAGGGCTAGCCCACGAGATCCATGCAGTTTAACATGGAGAGTTCCGTCCGACACAGAACACTGAAACCGAACGGATCAGTCCGTGTTTTGATCCCACAGCAGGCAGGGCAACAACATGTACCATCTTTTAACGTAACTTTGGTAAGACGCGGCCTGGGATCGAACCACTGATCTTTACCTCACCATGCAAATGGCCTAGTTATTCGCCATGAATCCTAGGAGCATTAATGGTCGTGGCATTGCCTTGTGGTTTTCTGGGTTCGATTCCCTACATGGGTTCAAAGTGTAAAGCTCTCTCATGCCCCTGTTCTCCGTCTGATATGGTAGGAATATTACTCAAATAGGCGTATGGATTTGAACGCCAAGAAGGGATTATGGGTCCGTGATGGATCCCAGCAACCACCCCAAGCCCGAAGAGGCGACTAAATGAATATGTGTGTGCGTGCGTGCGTGCGTGCGTGCGTCTGCCTGTCTGTTGGGGTGGGGATTGGGTGTCACGTATTGTGACTCGATTGCTTAGCATCCTGCCCCGAAGTCATTGCGCACCGCTTCAGTCACTGTATTGTCTGGTCCAGACTTGATAATATTTAAGTCGCGGTATCATATGGAATTTTGCTGAGTGGGGCGCTGAACAACAAACACACAAAACATTAGAACCTGATGCGTACATGTAATGTTGAGGCTGTCATGAGGTGGTTGGAATGTTCCTGGTACGTGACACTTTGTCCTTGTCACGTACTGTCCTCCCGGACTCGTCTTACGGCTGAACTCTGTGAGGGGTGAAATATTTGTCACAGTTACTGTTGTGTACGCTGTTTGATGAAGAACTGTCTCCGTTTTGTACAAGGCATCAGATCACGTGAGTTTTGTAAGATACATTTTCTTTAATGTCGTGTCGGAGGGGTGGAAACATAGGAAAGGTAATAGTTCACATTTAGGTATGCAAGGATCTCCAAGATAGGTATGCTGACATTTAGGTATGCAAGGATCTCCAAGATAGGTATGCTGACATTTAGGTATGCAAGGATCTCCAAGATAGGTGTGCTGACGTTTAGGTATGCAAGGATCTCCAAGATAGGTATGCTGACATTTAGGTATGCAAGGATCTCCAAGATAGGTATGCTGACATTTAGGTATGCAAGGATCTCCAAGATAGGTATGCTGACATTTAGGTATGCAAGGATCTCCAAGATATAGGTATGCTGACATTTAGGTATGCAAGGATCTCCAAGATAGGTAGACTTAATGTTGAAATGAAACTGTCAACTCTACTCTGGCAAGCTATAGATCGGTAGGGTAGCCTAGTGGGTAAAGCGTTCGCTCGTCGCGCCGAAGACCCGGGTTCGATTCCCCACATGGATACAGTGTGTGAAACCCATTTCTGGTGTTCCCCGCCGTAATATTGATAAAAGCGGCGTAAAACCATACCCACTCACTCACTCAAAGGCTATCACTATAATCAGTCTGTCATGATGTTTAACATAGTGATAGGAACTACAGTAATGTACGGTTATAACGAAGAGACCACTAAATATAGTTCGTTACAACCGGATTACACTTTCTCAGTAAAGTACAGATTCTAGTACCTGTTTAAGTTAAGTCCCATCCGGGATTCGAACCCATACTCACAAAGTCAGACACCTTATCGCCGGCAAAGTCAGCGATCTAACCCACTCAGCCACCACATCTTCCACAAAATGGAAGTCTGACAACAGTTGTGCCTGTCTCTGGGAGTGCGGGTTCCAATCCCGGATGAGGCTGGACCAACCAAAGTACAAGAATCTGTACTCTACTGAGAAGGTTAAATCACACTTTGACCACTTTCTAAATGTACCCGTGAAGGTCCGGGTTAGAATTGATCTTCGGTAACCCATGCTTGTCGTAAGAGGCGACTAACGGGATCGGGTGGTCAGGCTCGCTGGCTTGGTTGACACATGTCATCGGTTCCCAATTGCGCAGATTGATGCTCTTGCTGTTGATCACTGGATTGTCTGGTCCAGACTCGATTATTTTCAGACCGCCGCCATATAGCTGAAATATTGCTGAGTGCGGCGTAAAACTCAACTCACCCACTGACTTTCTAAATGGCATTGTGTATTCAGGACATGGTTCGTTGCTCACCGCCTCAATCAGTGGTTTACCAGTCTGAATGTCTTTAGGCCAGGTGGGGTAGCCGAGTGGTTAAAGCGTTCGCTCGTCACGCTGAAAACCGGGATGATTCCCCACATGGGTACAATGTGTGAAGCCCATTTCGTGATGTTGCTGGAATATTGCTAAAAGTGGCGTAAAACCATTCTCACTCACTCAAATTCGTCGAGGGTGAGTGAGTAATTTTTACGATTATTTGAGTAATATTCCACCAATATCAAACGGAGAACAGGGGACATGAGATAGCTTTACACTTTTTACCCATGTGGGGAATCGAACCCAGGAAACCACAAAGCTACCTCGCGACCCTTAATACTCCTAGGATTCATGGCGTGTATCTGCAATCAGAGCTAAATATCAGTGGTTCGATCCCAGGTCGGGTCGTACCAAAAATACGTTAAAAGATGGTACATGTTGTTGCCCTGCCTGCTGTGGGGTCAAAACACGGACTGACCCGTTCGGTTGCAGTGTTCTGTGTCGGACGGAACTCTCCATGTTTAAACTGCATAGATTATCGAACACGTTAAGCACTACAGCTACCCCACCGCCCCCCGACAGACAAGAGTGAGTGAGTGGGTTGGGTTTAACGCCGCTTTTAGCAATGTTCCATTAATGTGACTGCGGGGGACACCAGAAATGGGGTTCAAACAATGTACCCATGTAGGGAATCGAACCCGGGCCTTCTGCGTGACGAGCGACCGCTTTAACCACTAGACTACCCATCAGACTTTTAATGAGTTAAGTTTCTTGCCGCTCTCAGCAATATTCCAGCTATATCGCGGCAACAGGTAAGAACCACGCGCGTATATATATATATATACGCTAATGAAAATCACAGGACATGATTCATAAATAAAAATATGAAAATATGTTTTTGACGGGATAATGGCATGACCTTCCTTTGACCCCAAACATGATTAGTTTGACCTTTCCTTCATACGTGATTAAAACATACTGTCAGTTCAATATATTCAATTTCACCATTATTGTTCCTGACAACAAAGAGAATTGGTTGTAGTTTAAACAGCTTGACAAGCATTCCTGTTCTTGGCACTGTGACAAATACCGGAATAATGCATGTTGGGAAAAGAAAACACATGTCAAAATGTCGACCCATTGTGTGAAAGGTTACGGTTCGTCTCAAAAGTTGTTTTCCTGTTTTAATGTATCACTTTCATGGAAGTACAGCTGTGCATTGAATTAATACTCTATGTGACAATTATCTTGAAAATGTGGCAATAGAATTTTTAGGCATTTGTTTTTCATCGATCTCATATGAATGGAATATGTCAGCTTAAGAGATGACCTTTTTCGTTGTATATATGTGTATGACTCTTGAGACGGTCCCGATCAGTTTTAAAAAGTCTACTGGCGATTTTGCCGCAGTCGACAATACAAGGAGCACAAAGGCAAGTTTCAAATCATTTCCTTGTATTTGAAAATTTGATTTCAGTTCATAAATGTAACTAAATTCATATAGATTGTACAATTCGAATTTAATTATGATAATTTGATAAGGTCAGAAATATTAACGGAATGATTTTCATCTTAAATGTTTGAAAAATAGTCCTGTTGTGCATCATTATTAACACAACAGGCGGGGCCGTTAGAAAACGGAAAGGGAAATATATCTATATCCGCTTATGCTATACATGAAGTATATGCTTAAGATATCAAAGTTTCTTACATTATTTTAGGAGCAAAATGTGCCCCAAGAGATTATTTTTATTAATAAAATCATATTTGTAAACTTTCTGTTTGAATTAATAGTCTTTGTCGAGTGTCTTTTTAAATATCTGTTTATACGGTCTGTTTAATTACCTATGGCAATATGTTCCCGGTGATATCATCCTTGAACAATGCCCCTAGTGGCTGTAGGGTACACGAAGTACATGTGATAACATATGGTAATATTATACATATGCAATTAATCATAGGAATCGTATAGAAGTTCCCGTGCCTATCTCAAATTAGCATGCTTGTTATATTACCGGGACATTGAGTCATTAGGGGCGTTGTGTCATCCCGTTTGCTCAATGCCGGTTACAACAGCAGCTATGCACGGGATAAAGTTCAGAAAGACGTCATATTTGTTTGACTTCGTTCAGTATTCACGACCGTGTGCCATAATGCAGATGTTTTTCCATTTCATAAGATTCGCAATTTGTAGAACGCATGTTAATTCACTCCTGCTGTTAATATTAATTACAAAGCATAAAATATTACATAATTTATGGTGACTGTGTTTTTGTTGGAAATGATTACATTTCTGGGTAATGACTCTTGTTATTCAGCGAACCGTGGCTTTGTTGAGCCGAGTCTGAAGGTAAATCACCTCGCGGAAAAACACACAAAGGTTTACTGCAGGGGAAGCGGGGAACAACAATTCTAATCTTTCATCTGAAATATTGATCCATCTGTCCCGTGCGCTACATGGCGCGTGCTGTTATCGTCTGCTTCAGACGCCATTTTAGACCAAGCGTCTTATTTGGGACCCGATTTTCAAAATATTTGGATGAATATTGTTGACGTATCTGTTTGGAGTAGATTTCGTCCAAATCCCATTTGTTCAGCGGTGTGAGTCACGCGGCGACCGTTGTTTGGAGTTTGAAGCAGACGAGCGCTGTGGAAATATTATCGTTATGAAGTAACTCTAACAGCCCATAGGAGTCGACTCGGTTCGGTCTCAAGAGGGATTTGGGTGTTCAGTTTTCATGGATGTTGTCCTGTTACTGGAGCTGTCATTCACCGTGAATCAAGCTTACACATCGAGGATCCATCCCACTGCTAAACAAATCCCATACACAGCTGGCAGTGGTTGGGAGCGCAGACGATAGTCTGACTTTTGTGGGTATGTACGTTTTATGATTTTATTGATGCTGAATCAGCTGACAAAGGTTTATTCTTGACGAAAACGTTTCTGGACATATCAACAGGTGCTTCTATTGTTTACTACTACCAGAGCAGACGATGTTTAAAGCAGATGGGTATATGATTAAATACAACAGAGGACGGTAGTTTGCTGAGCTTGTATCGATTGTCCTGAAACTGATAGTGCTCCAATAACCGACTGTCTGGCGAAATAGGAAATCATTTCTGTATTGGAATAACCTTAGAGGATGATTTAATCGTGTCCTGTGAATGGAAATGGCACAAGTACAACACCGCTTTGTTTCACGAAATTCAAACTTACGATTTGGAAGGAGACATCGCGTACAGGGCGATATACTGATTTATTGTCGAGACCCAATTCAGTTCGACTTTGGACCAGACCGTTTTCATTTCGAATTTTGTGTGTACGGGTGATTTTGTCGTTAAACAAATACTGTTTTATGATTTTCTAAAGCGAAAACAGATTCATCAGAGTCTCAACAGATGTGAAGTACTCATTAAAATACTATAATATCATTTCCAGTGTAGAGGAACTAAATTTAGTCTCTGATATGTAAATTTTTAAGATTCTGTTTGTTAACCTATCCGTTAACTATAATAAACAGAGGCCTATAATTTAGTCTCTGAAATGGAAATATTTTAAGAGTCTATTGGTTAAACTATCTGTTATCTATAATAAACGGAAGCCTATAAAATTTCTTTATTTTCAGACACTAGAAATCTAGACTTTCCGAGGTGATATATACACTGACGTACAAAAGAAAGTAAACATCTTGTTATTTGGTATTATTTGAAATAATAATAAACATACAAGGTGATTATTTTGAAAAGTGTTGAAAGTGACTTACAAGTCACCTACAATACTACTCCATATTAAATAGGGATAACTTTCCATAATACTTTAATATGATTCCCGTCATGTGTTAAGTTTATGTGTAAATATGCCCGATGTATCTTATTATCCTGCCAACACTGCTGGTACCAGAAATAGGGGAATGAATAAGGTTACACATAATTCTGTTAAAGGCACGTCGGGTATTAGATAAGCGCAAGTCTATAAGTTTCAGCTAACCCAACGGCAGTGGGGCTGTGAATAAAGTGTTCGCTGGTCACGCCGATAATCTGAGTTCGATTCTCCATATGCACATAAACGTGAGGAGCCATTTTTGGTGGACCCCAAGTGCTGGAATATTGCTATAAGCGACGTAACACAATACTCATTCCCACAACTAGAAGTGAGTGAGTATGGTTTTACGCCGCTTTTAGCAATATTCCAGCAATATTACGGCGGGGACACCAGAAATGGGCTTCACACATTGTACCCATGTGAGGAATCGAACCCGGGTCTTCGGCGTGACGAGCGGACGCTTTTACCATTACGCTACCCCATCGCCCCACTAGAACTGAGAAGGGTGAGAATGGGAAGAGTGTTTTTAAATTCATGTATGTGCTCTAGGGTATAAAAGAGAGACAGTCTGGCTCTGCCGATCTTCATGACTCGTCTTGTGTAGAAACTCTCACCCCACGTGTAAATGGTACCGGAACATGACTCACTAAACACATTGCAGGGATGCACCTACAGTAGTTCGTCTGAATCAGTAGATGATGATGCCGGCGTGAGAGTACGTGCTGTACAATGATGAGATAACGCGGGCCCCGTATTTACTTCGCGGCAAGTGAATATATACCACTCAACTTTTGATAAGAATATTTTTAGCTTTCCGTGATGCTCAAAGATGATTCTCGTTTGATCAGCATTTATTTTAACATAGCTGACATATCAGATTATCACTATTATAAGTTGATCAAAGCACGCACACGCACGCACGGTGTCGTGTAGATGGGCGTGGGTTGTTTCCAGGAATTCATACACTACTCACATGAAGTTAAGGAACATCCAGTTCTTTCATACAACGAGTCAGTTTGTAATGCCATGCCAGAATAACACCAGAAATGGCCTTCACACAGTTTATCCAAGGGTAGAATCGAACCCGTGACCCAGATGAGAGAACACTTTAACCACAGTGCTACCCCACGGTCTTAACAAGGCTGCTCTAATATGATTGAGTTATATCAATCAGTGTATACTTTAATCAAGTTATCTGGCAGCTATATACAGTCTTCGAAATAGCCACTGGCCCGCTAGCCCGTGGCTAGTAAAAATCCGGTCGGGCCAGTAAATCTCCTCAGTCACTGGCCCGACTGGCTAATGAATTAGGGTCATTTTGTATATACATGTATATCACTCTCTCCAACTTGTTAAGTTATAATACACTTTTAAATCATGCAAAACTATGGCCTGATAAAAATGTTCAACATATTAGCAGCTTAATGATGAAACCTCTGTCTACATTCAAATTTCGGGTCAGTGAATAATTTTGTGGGCTAGTAACTTTCAGGCATAACTAGCCCGTCCATTTCGCACACTGGTTATATGTTTATACCGATGAATTATTCAGTGAATTACGTAACGCGCTGGGTCGCAACGCGGGTTCGAGTCACTGACTGCCCCATGAAGAACAAAATGTCGCTCGAAGTTCAGGTAATATGTTTGTTTGTTTGTTGTTTAGTGTCGCACCCAGCAATATTCCAGCTATATGGTGTCTGTATGTAAATAATCGAGTCTGGACCAGACAATCCAGTGATCAACATCATGAGTATCAATCTACGCAATTGGGATACGATCCAATGTCAGCGAGCCTGACCACCCGATCCCGTTAGTCGCCTCTTACGACAAGCGTGGGTTGCTGAAGACAAATTCTGACCCTGATCCTCACAGGTTGGCAGGTAATATGTCATTAGATAACCTACCTGCTCTTCCGTGTCCTGCTGCGTCCTCCTACTGGAAGTTGACACTCCGTAACAAAACATGAATACTGTTCTAGGCGGCGTAAAACACAACTCATTCACTTTTAGTGATCAGTTTTGGCAAATACAATACTGATGTTATGTTTCTGAGCACGATTTTATTCTAGTTTTTCAAGGGGAAGCCAGTTAGGGCATTAATCCCATGATCCCAGTTCCGCCAGATTGCAGCGTTAAGGCGATCGTAACTCCCGTACTTTAACATAGAACTGCGTAAGTCGTACCTTTATGGCCTTCGTAACCTCATCCCATACTTGAACAAATACTTACGACAGTCGTAGCTCTACTGCGGTCGTAGCTCCCACTTTTAACATGACGAAATTTTAAGGTAATCGTAGCTCCCATACTTTAATATGAACTTACGACAGTCGTAGCTCTACTGCGATCGTAGCTCCCATACTTTACATAGACGTAGCTCTAAGGCGATCGTAACTCTCATACTTTAACATAGACGAAATTTTAAGGTAATCGCAACTCCCATACTTTAATATGAACTTACGACAGACGTAGCTCTAAGACGACCGTAACTCCGATATTCTAACAGAACAGACTCTCGACAGATCTACGATCGCTTTGTGTAAAGGCGCCCAATACAGTTGCAACACTGATGTTTTTCTCTCTCTTTGTATCAACCCAGCACAAGCGTTACTCAAACAATCGCATTTGAAGCTTCCTCGTGGCGACATAGATAAACAACAGCGCCGGACTAATTAGAAATCAAACAATGCTAATTGGAGTCTGCATTGGTAATTAGTCTGTCCCATAGCCAAGGGCTGACCTGTTGATCGGCTTAGCCTCACAGACAAGCGAGTTAAGATGACATTGACAGTGTTGTCTTTGTAAACAAGGCAGCGTTCAGTCATACTTACCTGGCCTCCTGTATTTAACACGGGAGGGGTGATGACTCACTGTTTAAGAAGCTGTAGCCGTCTAAGGATGTACTGACTCTGCCACAGGTGAGCGTGTGTTCCGAGGTGAGGTGAAATTGGGTTTTACGTCGTGCTTGAGAATATTTCACTCATATGACGACGTGCATGCGTGTGTATGTGTATGTGCGGCTGCTTGTACTAGCCCAGACTTAAGCTGGTTTTATAGTGCTAGCCCACGGAGATACCATGCCGCAGTGAAGCATGAATATCCCACTCAGACACATTATACTGACTCCGAGCCGACCAGTCCTTGTTGTACCCATTAATGCCGAGCGCCAGGCAGGGACCAACAAGCACCATATTTTAACGTCTTTGGTATGACCCGCGACCTTCCGCTCTCGGGGTTTCTAACCACTACACCGCGGAGGCGGTCCCGTGTGTTCCTAATCGCAACGTTTTTCTCCTAACGAATGTATACTGAGGGAAACAAATAAGGGAACACATGAAAATACAAGTGTTCCTTAATTCTTTTCCAGGTTTTTCACAAGCTTTATATTGCACTGTGGGTGAAAATCTGAGAATAGATAAAGGAACACTGCGATGAAGTGGTGTTCCCTTATTTGTTTCCCTCAGTATATATATCGACGCAATTCGAGACGTAGATAAAGGGGATTTTGGTTTTGTGTTGATTTATATTAGGTCTCCGTGTGATTGGGTATAAAATACCAAGGTGATGTGTCCATATTCTGATTTGAACATATATTCTCGTGTTTATTCAGGCTACCTTATGACTTGCCCTTGCATGTGTTTGTGACGGGTTTCAGACAGAGAGGCTTATCTTTTCGCGAGCACCTGCTGTTATGACTGTTTCATATTGATCCACAATGCAGATTATAATACGGACGTTTAACACAGTCGGAACGGGGTCTTCCCACTTACCCAACTCCTATTGTTTCAGTAGAAGAAATCACTGGGGTGTGATAATCCCCTTTAATCCCTTATTTGGTTCCCTGTGAAATAGTATCCGGGGCCAAATGGGATAAAATGCTACTACGTTTGATTCAATGTTTGTCTGTATTTATTAATTATATATATACAAGTTATCCATTTATACAACTTAATACAACTTAATACAACATCAACATCCTATCACATATTATACATCAATATTTCACAGCACACCTTTCACACTTAATTACCAGTTAAATGTGATACTGAGTCTCTT